TTTCTAGATAAATCTTGATGTATATAAAGAATGCATTTTTGACAATAGGGCAAAATTTTGAATTATTGATCTTAATATTCACATGTATTTTAAAATAGAGATGTAATCCTGAAGGATGATTTTTATTACCATAATCTTACTGCTTTGCCAGTATTCTTGTGGCATTTCTTTATGACAACATTGTCCAGATGTTATGTGTACCTGCTTTGGAGTAAGACAGCTTATATTGAAATCCCATCCTTACTGCTTACTTGTTGAATATAATCTTAGGCACATTATTTATCTTCCTTTTTCTCTTTATCAAAACACTCCTCACACTCAAAGTCCTTAATGTAGTGCCTGCACATACTAATTACTCAGTGAGAGCTATTATGATCTTTTTAATCACTGTCTTCCAATTTCCCCTTCAGAATTCCTGCTACATTTGTTTCTAAATTGTTAGTACAGTTTTGTTTACTGTCCTATTATTTCGGTTATGTGGCTAATTCTCCTTGTACTATTTGAAGAAGAAGAGAAGTGCAGGCAACTTAAGCTCAGGTTGGCCCCACAAATGAAAATTCTGGCAAAAACCTTGAGTCTGCTTAGCAGTTGGCCATCTTGCTACAGAAGGCATTGGAGAGAGACATCCTGATATCTGAAGCTGGAAGAGATTCTTACCTTAGCCACATTATGGGACATTGCTATTTGCTTAGCTCCCTAACTGGTAAAAATAGAGAAGGTATTATACCATTGTAGACTACAAATATTCGAGGTAAAATAACCCAACTTTATCAGGGTAGTCTGTTTTTTGTAAGAATTTGAATTTTGTTTAGCTTCCTAGCACTTCCTGACGTATGGAGAAAAGCAGGTTTTCACTATGACCAGGTCTGTCTGTAAGGATATTTGAGGCTATCTTTTATACCTTTGCCTGCAGAAATTTTTATAAATATCAGATTAATTTCCAAGAACAGTTACGATTAGTATAACTGAGAAAGTCAATGTGACATATGTAGATGTTTTAGGGGGGACAAAAACAGGTGGGAAGTATGTGGAGATGAGTATGAGAACAGATCAATGCGGAGACAAAGGCATTACAAAGGGAAGAAAACCAAGGTAGGAGGAAGGGTTCTCTGTTGCTAGGTAGCCATGAACAGGCTTTTGGGTGTTGCCTAAGTAACAGTAGAAGGAGCTAATGAGTATGTCAGTTTTTTTTTTCTTTTTTAGGAATGAGCTAGTATTTCCTGTCCTTTGACACCCTAACTTGTCTAATGACTACCTGGGTATATTATTTACACTAAGAAACGAAAAGTTAAATTATTTGGAAATCTAGCTTTTAGTAGACTTATAATGGCAGTGTCTCCTTAATGGCAACTAAACTCTGCTGGTTGTATATTCTAAATTTGCTTATGATTTGCTATTTGCTTTGGTTTTTCATAATTGAAATATTTCCCAAAAAGATTTTAAAAACCACTGTAGTATAAAAAATTTAAATATACCCACAAATAGATGGAACAGTATAAAATCTCTATACATCTATAAACAGCTTCAACTATTAAGTCATGATTAATCTTATATCAATACTATCTCCATCCACATTCTTTTCCTCTTTCCTTCCTTATTCTCTTCCCTAATTCCCCTTATAACACTTAACAAAACATAGAAACAATGCAATTTTGTATCTAAAAAGATACTGATTCCGTAATATCAAATATCTGGTCAGAACTTTTCTTATTATCTTTCTCTTTATTTCCAGTTGATTTGACTGGAATGGTATTGGTATAAGAATCATGCATTTAATTTATTGATATCCCTGTTAATAATCCTCCACCTCCTTTCCTTTTGCAATTTAGTTGTTGAAAAAACTGGATCAAATGCTTTATAGTTTCCCACAGTCTAGATTTTGCAGATAATATCCCCATGGTGAGTTTAATATCTTCTTTTGTTGTCGTGTATATTTTTCATATATTGGTTAGATCTATCGCGGTCCATTGGAATCAGGTTTGCCTTTGCCTTTTTCTTTTGAAAAAATACCTCATAGATGATATTGTGTTCTTTCAGGAAGCACATAGTGTTTTGATTGTGTATCTTTATAATAATGGCAGTCATAGAAAATAACTACAAAGTGATCATGTTATAAATGATTTCTTCATTTACTAACTGGAATAATTTATAAATTGAAACCTTCCCTGACCTTGAGTTATTTTTACATATGCATTTGGGTCTACTTCTGTATTTTCTTTTTTGTTCCATTTATTAATCTTGTTCATGTGCCAATGCTAATACTGTTTTTATAATAAAAGCTTTGTAATATTTTAATATCAGATTTTAATATCTGGCAAGGCCTGTTTTCTTGGTTATTATTTATTCTTCAAAATGAACTTTATAATTAATTTGTGTAACTCTAGAAAAAAATTCAGTGGTTTTTAAAATTAGAAGCATATAAAATATATAAATTATCAGATTATGTGATGTCTAAGCATCTTTATGATGTTGAGCCTTCTTACTAAAGGCATGATATATCTTTCATTTGTTGATGTTTATATTATGTATTTCATAAGTTTAATATTTTCCTATATTATATATATTGCTATGGCTAATGTAATAAATTACCACAAACTTGTTGCTTCTTCTCTCATTCTGGAGACCAGTAATCTGGCCTAAACCCAAAGCAAGGTATGTTGGTAGGGTCATCCTCCCTGGGGAAGCTCTAGGGAGCTTTTTTTAAAAAATATTTTTGTAGTTGTTGATAGACCTTTATTTTATTTATTTATACATGATGCTGAGAATCGAACCCAGTGCCTCACACATGCTAGGCAAGTGTGCTACCGCTGAGCCCCAACCCCAGCCCAGGAATATAATTCTTGTCTCTTCCAATTTCTGGTGGCTGCCAGCATTCTTTGACTTGTGGCCACATCACTTTTATTTCTACCTATTCCTCCACATTGCCATATCTTTTTCTCTCTTAAATCTGTGTGTCTCTCAGAAAGACATTTCTGATTGGATTTAAAGTCTACCCAGATAATCCAGGATAATCACTTCTGGAAAGACTCTTCTTTCAGATTCTAGTTCCTATTATCTTTAGATGTTCATGAATTTAGCTTCTTGCAATGCCACACTAGGTTTTAGGCATGTCTTTTAAAATGTAATGATTAGATGTTTTGTTTCTTTTTTTGTTATGTAAATGAAAACTTCTCTCTCATTTTATCTTCTAACTGGTTAACATTTGTATATTGGTTTTTATAACTTGCTACTTTACTGAATTCTCTTTATTGTAGTAATTTTTTCAATTGATTTTTATACTGTTAGATTTATGTCATCTGTGTATAAAGATAGTTTTACCTCTTTCTTCTGAATTCTTATGCCTCCAGACATTTTCCTTTGTCGAACTGCATTGACTAGTACCTCCAAATGATGTTAAATAGTAATGGGATATTAGGTATCCTTACTGTGTACCTGTCTTTAACAGGAAAACTTCATGTTTTCTATTAAATAAGCTCCAAAGTATACTTTAGAATATCTTACTAGGGAACATTATATTTTCTAGGAACTTTGAATTTAATTTTTTTAAATAGGAAATATAAGCAGTTACCATTATAAAAATAATATTATCTTCTATAGTACTCTATAGCTTTTGAAGTGTTTTCAAAAATCCAACTCATTTTTATCTGTGAGATAAAAATACATATATCTTTATTTTATATTTAAATAAATATTCAGAGAAATTAAGTAATTGCCTAAAGTCATGCTGCTAGAACCAAGATAACAATCAAGGATTTTAATTTCACTGCACTAATCTACATATTTGGGGGGGGGGAAGCTGGGGTTATGGCTCAGTGGTAGAACACTCACCTCACATGTGCAAGGCCCTGGGTTCGATCCTCAGCACCACATAAAAATTAAAATTTTTTTTTAAAAAAACTACATATTCATTTTATTCAGTATTTTCCTTTATGAACACTCTACACTCAGGACATTATATTTTATAAACATGAGCATATATAAATAAGTTGTTTTCCTTTGTAAAATATGGCTTTTATATATTTTTGTCAATTAAAAATAAAGGAGGTAAAAGAAACTACTTGACCTGTAATCCCAGCAACTTAGGAGGCTGAGGCAGGAGGCTTGCAAGTTCAAGACCAACCTCAGAAACTTAGTAAGGCCTTAAGCAACTTAGACCAGTCTCAAAATTAAAAAAAAAAAAATGGGGCTGATGATGTGGCTCAGTAGTTAAGTGTCCCTGGGTTCAATCCTGGGCACCAATAACTACTTGAAACTTAAAACATAAAAAATAAATGTGACTTTAAATGGTTTATTATATTAAGTGATAGGTGCTTACTGAAATCATTATATTGCATGTACATCTTACTGATACCCTAGATGTAAATAATCCTAAGAGCATATATAATAGTAAAATGAAATAAAGAAATTAAGAAGTGATGAGTTTTTAATATTATTACCTTTGTTTTTAATATAATTTAATTTTTAATTATGCCTATGTTTTACATATGGCTCACAAAAATTCCTAAAAATTTAATATTTGGCTATAGTAAGTCAATATTGAGCCCATTGGAACATACTACTTGGTTGAAGGATATAACCAAAATTTTTATTTAGTAAGTTGCCTGTTGAATCATAAGTTACATGAAAGAATAAATGTAAAAAGATATAAAGAATTTGGGCTGGGTTATGGCCCAGGGTACAGCACTTGCCTAGCATATGTGAGGTACTGGGTTTGATTCTCAGCACCTCATATAAATAAATGAATAAAACAAAGGTTAATTGACATTGAAAAAATATGTAAAAAAATATAAAGAATACTGTTAATGTGATTTTTGCACTAATCTTGCCCATTCATTTTAATAAGAACCTGATAAAAATAATTTTAAGTTAGAGTAAGATGCTTTGTTTATTGGTTCTTTATTTCAAATTTAAGTGACAGCATAGGAGATAAACTGAGTTCAGTAGATTCTGTCATTGTATCATTTATAATAAATTTTATTATTAATTTTTTTTTCTTCAAGGCATTACTGTGTCTCGTGATGAAGAACAAAACTTGAATCATTACGTACAAGTTTTAGAGAACCTAATACTAAGTGTTCCCACTAGGGAACCAGGCCCTGAGAAAAAATCAAAGTCTCCAAAAAATCTTTATTCTATAGGATCAAAGAGGTCAAAATCTGAGGAGACAGTTACACCTTCAACTGAGAATAATGTTTTAATCAAGGATGTTAGTGCAGGAAGTACTCCTTTCTCTACTAGAGACTTCACATCACCACCGGGAGTAGGGAAGAAACTAATGACTGAAAATACACCATTCTGGTCAATCAGACCAAACAACATTTCTGTTGTTTTACATGCGGAAGAACCTTATGTTGAAAAAGAAGAACCAGAGCCAGAGCCAGAGCCAGAGCCAGAGCCAGAGCCAGAGACAGAGACAGTGACAGTTACAAAACGCAGCCGGACCTCAACGTTGTCACCACGTACTACACAATTATCTACTGCCACATCATCTACTGCCAAACTATCTCCATTTACAACTCTCAGTTCTACCAGCAGATCTCAAATGTACCTGTGGACAGATTCAGAAGATGTTCCCCAGCTCTCAGGTGACTCTGCATCAAGCAGATTTAAATTCCCAATATATGAACAACACTCAGACAATATGCGTAATGATATCATTTTGAGAAAAATTTCAGAAATATATGCACAAATGCAACAGGCACCTCCTGGTGACAGCAATAATCCAGAATATAAAGAGTATATTAAAGCCTCTAAAGAGCTCCTGAAACGAAGCCTTGCTCTAGCAGAAGCAGCAGAATATAGATTAGAAAAAATGTATACATCCGAGGCATTGGCAGAAGGACGAACCGGTAATCAAATTGTTGACATTGAAACTGTTATTAATACGCTGTATAATTCTAGATATAAATTACCGGAATATTTAGATATTAAATATGTTCCAGCTGAGATGAGAGAAAAGGCTAATACAGTATTCACTACATTGAAAAATATATTATGTGCAGGTCAAGTAGAAACTCAAAATCTTATTAAGAAGTTATTAAGCAATAATATAAAAATGTTAAACCTACTTGATATTCCACGATAAAGTTGGTTTAAGCAAACTGTATTCTTTCACAGGAAAATAAGCATATTAGTGATTTCAAAGATGTTTTAAAATATTTTTATTATAATTTAATGCACTAACATCTTTATATGACATGTTCTAAAATTTTTCATATGCACAGAAATCTAATAATTTAAAATAAAAATTTGGTTCAGGAGTTTGTAGTTTTTTTCTCATTAATTAAAAAAGCTATGAAGATCTAATTTTTAAAACATTAAAGTTGGGGATGTAGCTCAGTGGTGCAGCACTGCCTATCAAATGTCTGAGGCCCTGGGTTCAATCCCCCAGCACTGCTGTAAAAAAAAAGAATCATTGATTTTACTTGAATAGATTAGCTAAATTCACCCATTTTATGAGTTGTGACTACACTCCATATGTAGCTAGTTTGAAATAATTTTATGTGTATGGTTTTTATTGCTCTTTCAGGGAGTAATTCAGAGAATCTCAGTTTTCTTTCTGGATAGCACAGTTGGGACTCATATCAGAATTACTTTTATTTGGACATATATGTGCCTCCTTTGAAAAATGATATAGGACCCATCCCTGTTTTTTTGTCGTCAAGTGCTTTTGGAGTATCAATGAAGGACCTGAAATTTGTAATGAAGTAATTTTGACTTATTTTCTCTATTGGCTTATTTGTGTACATACACATCAAAGCTTTGCAAATGTTTTGTCAGGAAGTATGATTGACATCGTTGAGGTCAACTGTTGAGGTCATAGTATTATTATGGTGCAGGTAATTGTTTCATTATTTGACCAGTATTAATTCAAATTCATATACTTATTTCTTCATCTAGCTAGTCATTTGTGGTTTAATCAAAATTTATTGATTTTCTAATAGGATAAATTTGCTAGACTTTGGAGATATAATAATGAAGACCTATTTCCTTCTCTCTTTGAGATTACATTATAGCAGGAAATATAAATATTAAGCAAATAATTTCAACAACTTGAAAATTTCAGTTGTGGCAAGTTATTATGAAGGTAAGATATTTGACCTCATCTAAACCAAGAATAATTGGAAAGTTACTCTGGGAAAAGAGGTATTTAAGGTAAGGTCGAAAGTAGAGGGTGTGTTTACCGGTTAGGTTAAGGGAGCATTCCAAGCCGTGGGATGAGTGCAGGTGAAAGCTCCGGTCTGAGAATGAGTGTGGTAGGTTCAAAAAGTACTTGGAGTATGGGGATGCATCTTGGGAGAGCATCCTGAAATGGAGTGGGATATACACAGGGTCAGAGTAGACCCTGCAGGGCCTTGTATGCATGTTAGATATTTTAGCCTTTCTCCTATGATCAATGAGAATCTATTAGTGGATTTTAAGTGAAGAACTAGTATGATCAAATATTTTTGTTTATTTTTTAAAAACTAGCTAATTTTAGAAGTAGTCATAAATAGTCATGCTTTGTGCACAGGCCAAATTTAGCTGGAGTAGATGGAAAGAAGCAGCAATTAAAAGAAGAATCAAGGGGCTGGGGATATAGCTCAGTTGGTAGAGTGCTTGTGTCACATGCACAAGGCACTGAGTTCTATCCCCAGAACCACAAAAAAAAAAAAAAATCAGTAGAATTTGATGATTAAATGGACATGTGTGATTGAGGGAGTAGTGGGGTTCAAAAATAATTGCCACTAGCTGTATTATAAAAAGGAATATGTAGGTTTTATTTCATAAAACACTATTTACTGTTGTTTATTTTAAACATGATTTTACTATTAAAAATGTCAAACATTTGCAAAAGTAAATAATGATATAATGGACCCATATACCCATCATTCTGTTTCAATAATATGTACTGTTGGCCAGTTTTCTGTCATCTATACCTCTGCTGCTTTGCTCTCTTCCTGTATGCTGAATTAAATCCCAAATACTTTAATCATTTCATCTCTAAATATAATGATATGAATCTCTATAAGCTTTTTAGAATACATATAACAGTATAATCACATATAAAAATTGTTTTTAATATCAAATATCTAGTCAATGTTTAAATTTTAAAAGTTAAATTGGAAATTTGGAGTTTCTTTGTATGACTCAAGAACAAATAAATTTCACACATTGAGATTTGTTGATTTGACTTGTAAATCTCTTTTAATCTACAAATATCCTTTCCCACTTCTTCCCCCGCCCTTGAAGTTTATTGTTGAAGAAACTGCTTTTTGGGGGGGCCTACATTTGTCCTGTTTCCTGGAGGATGGATTGTGCTGATTGCATAGTACTGTAGCAGATTCTCTAGTCCTCTCTATTTTCTGTAAATGGGTAGTTTGATTTAGAGAGCCTTCATCAAACTGAGAGAGGGTAGAATAATAGGGAAGGAGGAAGAAAAGATTCAGATAAGAATGGGCTTATAGGTTTGGTAAAAACAAGTGAGAAAATTCCAGATTGTAGCTACTATCATTTTTCCAATGATGTAGAAAAGGAGGATATCAGTTGAGAATGAGCTAAAAGGTTTGAAAGGGAAACATATGAAAGGTCTAATACACAATTAGACACTTAAGTAGTAGCTGTATGTTACTTGCAGTTTTAGAGACTTTGTCTGATTACATAATACTAGTGCAATATGAAGTAATTAGAGAACATTCAAAGTATCTTTGGTCTGCTAGAGTGTATAAAACTCTTTGAGAAAATGTTTACAATGTATTAAAGCATTGTAAAATACTCTTATATGTTCATGTTTTGGTGAGTTACAGTGTTTTGAGTTAAAACCAACTTTTAATTGATTTCATGCAATAAAAAAACTACTAGTTATTTTAAATCTCATAATATTAAAAAATTGCTCATAATGAAACCTCTAATCCTTTACTTAGAGAAAGTTATTTTTGAATAAAAATCTTGCCTTCATCTGTATTAAAATATCTGACTCATGAAATCTAAGTTCTTTTTAAGTAACCTTCTAATATCTATTAAATAAAGACATATATTTTTAAAAAAGTATCTTGCTATGTTACTCAGGCTGGCCCTAAACTCTTGAGTTCAAGTGATCCTTCCATCTCAGCCTCCTATCTATCTATCTGGGATTACATGTACCAGCCACTGTGCCCAGTCTAAATGAAGATCTTTGAAAAACTGAACATGTTGATTAATTTTTTAATAGAATATGTATATGCTAATTTTCAACTTTATTTTTAAAGAAGAACTGGAAGAATTAAAACATGTAGTTTTTGTCTAGTAGTCCTCTGACTACATATTATAGCATTCCTAGTTCTACATTGAAGTGAACAAGATTGAACATATAGGAAGGAACAAATACTAGATTCAGCTCACAAAAATATACTGATGTAATCACAGATACAGTAATTCACATTGAAAATGCCAACATTTTTTATTTGTTCCTGAGTCAGTTTTAATAGCTTTTCTCTTTCTAGAAATTTGTCCTAGATTTCATGATATCCAATTTGTTGACATACGATGGTTCATATAATATTCTCATAATACTTTCTATTGCTATAATGTATCCCATTTTTTAAATCTGATTTTAATTTCTTGAATCTTCTCTCAACTTTTGGTTTAATTCTACTTTTTTTCTATTTTTTTTACCTTTAATCTTTATTATTTTCTTCTATTAATTTTGGGTTTCATTTGCTCATCTTTTTCTAGTTTCCTAAGGTATAAAGTTAGGTTATTAAAAGTCTTTCTTTTTTATTGTTTGCATTTTCTGCTTATATATTTCCCTCTGAGAACTGTCTTTGCTACATCCCATATAGTTGGTATATTGTCATTTTATTTATGTGTAAGATTTCTAATTTCTGCTATGATTGCTTTTTTGACCTATTGGTAGTTTAAAAATTTGTTGCTTAATTTCCACATATTTGTGAATTTTCCAGTTTTGTTATTTATTTCTGTTTTATTTCTATTGTATTCAAAGAGAATATTTTAATTTCAGTCTTCTTAAATTTGTGAGATTTTTTTTGTGACCTACATATGATCTATTTTTTGGAGAATGTTTGTATGCACTTCAAAATAATATGTATTTTTCTGTTGTTGAGTAAAATTTCCTGCGAGTCTTTTAGGTCTAGATTGTTTATCGTGTTGTCTGCTTTCTTCTATTTCCTTATTGATCTTTTATTTAGATTCTCAATCCATTATTTAAACTGGGGTATTGAAGTCTCCAACTAATTTGTAGTATTGTCTTTCTCTCCCTAATATTTGTCAATATTTGCTTCATATATGATGTGTATATGTTTATAATTATTATATCTTCTTGATGAATTGACCCTTTATAAATACAGTGTTTGTGTCTCTTATAACAGTTTTTGACTTGAAGTCTATTGTCTGATGTTAGCATAGCTACCAGCTCTCTTTTGGTTACTCTTTGCACAGAATATCTTTATATAGTCTTTCTCCTTCAACATATTTGTGTCTTTGAATCTAAGTGAATCTCTTATAGATAGCATATCATTGGATCATTTTTGTTTCTATTCATTCTACAAATCTCTGCCTTTGGTTGGAAAATTTAATCCATTTACATGTATAATATTTACTGATAAGAAAGAACTTCTGTCATGTTTGTCTTATACCCACCCCATACCCCCACTTTCTGTATTATTCTTTCCTTTTGTGTTTACTTGACTTTTTGGTAGTGTACCATAGTAATTTCTATCTCATTTTCTTTTTTCTCCTTCATCCTGCCTTCCTTCTTTCTTCTCCCCCCTCCCTCCCTCCCTCCCTCCCTCCCTCCCTTCCTTCCTTCCTTCCTTTCCTTCTTTATTTTTTTCTTTATAGTACTGGGGATTGAATCCATGGGTACTCTATCACTGAGCTACATCCTGAGCCCTTTTTAAAATTTTTTTGTTTTGAGATAGGGACTTGCTAAGTTGCCCAGGCTGGTCTCAAATTTTCAATCCTCCTGCCTCAGTCTCCTGAGTATTTGGAACTACAGGTGTTGGTAAAGATGGCACCCGGAGCACTTCTCTTCCAGGAGCTCAGGTCCATGAGGCACTGAATGGCTCGAAAACTGTCTTCCAATCCCTGTGAATGGCTCGAATTTTGAATGGCGCACCTCCAATCCCTGAAGTGGCGTGAACTCTCCGCCAGTGAAGAAGTAACAGCCCACTCGCCCTGCTCCTCCTCATCCCGAGTTGAGCCCATAAATATCAACACCCTGTTCGTGCTCTCTCTCTTACTCTTAGTCTCTTACTCTCCCTCTCTCTCTCTTACTCTTCTCTCTCTTACTCTCCCTCTCCTCTCTCTCTCCCCCCC